TGTTGTGACGGTGTCCCGGTCATGTTTTGATGGTGTCCCGATCATGTGATGGTGGCGCGGTCATGTTGTGATGGTGTCCCGATCATGTTTTGATTGTGTCCCAGTCATGTTGTGACGGTGTCTCGGTCATGTTTTGATGGTGCCCTGGTCATTTTGTGATGGTGTCCCGGTTATGTGATGATGGTGTCCAAGGAGAAGATGGTCGATGTGTTGAAAACAGCAGCTGTTTCCAGATTTTTATTTTTGTCCCGGTTTGTATCTTGCTATTGGGGTCTCCAGCTGGGCTAATTTGTGGATCCAGTGCTAGCACCAATGAATTTGATGTTCTGTTCTAGATGAGAGATAGGAAAGATGCGAGCGCATTTGGTCATTGCATTTGCTGGCTTGCAGCAGCCGTGTTCCTTTTGCACCACACGCCACAGCTTTTCCCAGTCTAAGAACCAAGAACCAAACCTGAGCTTGTCAAACCAGACTTTCGGGAGCCAGTCAACTGAGGTCCGGACCAAAGCTTAAGGCTTTGCATCCAAACACCGAGCCCGGCCACCGAGCTTCCCGCCCCGTCCGAGCTTCCAGGTACAGCTTCGGTGTGACTCTCCTGCTGATGCTCTTGGGGGAGGTGCGCACCGCGGTTTTAAGCAGCCGAATGAGCTGAGCCGGCCTGAACCAGAGGATCGAAGATAAAAAAGAACTTGATCTGAAGCATGTTTTTGGATCTAAAAAAGGATCGATTCGATTCATCTTCCAACACAAGAACCCACTATTATTTTAATCATCGATCCTCTGGGGTGGGAGGGCTGGGACCGGCAGGACTGGGACGGGCGCACATGGGCACACCAGCCACCGGGTGGGAAGACGTGAGGCGTTTTGGTGGTAGACAGCTGGTTTTCTTCTCCGATCAAACACGCGGTACAGATGGTTGGGGTCCACCTTGGTACAGGAATGTCCACAGTGGCCCTAGAATTCAGAAATCCAATAGCAGGGGGCTTTCTGTCCATCTGCACTAGTACTGAGGACGTGCATGAGAATGTTCATCGGTGAGTCACCAAGCTTCATTTCTCACCAGTGGTTTGAGGTGGCTTGCCCTTTAACAGACAACATACCAGCAGCTGCAGACCCTTGACCAAGAATGCAGGGCAGCATTTGACTGTTTGTGGTGGTTTGGTTTCGAGCTCCAACCACAACTTCAAGGTCTTAGGAGGAGAGCAGGGACGAAGGCAGGTAGTGGATTCAGAGCTCCCCCAACAGGTAACGCAAACGGACAGAAGACCTTTAATCTACTCGAAGCGTCATGAAACCCCAAGCACCTTGCCAGTGTTTAAGACAACAACGCACCGCCTCTCGCCTCCACGTGGACGGGGCCTCTCGCCCTCCCGATGTGCCGTCCAGGACTGTGCCGAGGTGCAAGCGGACGAGGATGACTGCATGTCGCCCGAACGAATGGGACTGGGGATGGACGCAGCATCTCAAATACGCAGTCTGTGCCGAGTCCCGCAAATCTCAGAGCTGAAAGAGTCTCAAAGAGTCCAGACTAGTCCCAAATACACTAGTCTCAAATTATGGTCAAGAGTCTCAAGAGTCAAGACTAGTATTCACAAGCTTCTTGGAGGTTCGGCCGTTTCCTCCCAAAACCGGGGAGCCAAAGCGGCTGTTTTTGTCTGGAGGCAAACATAGAAACGCTTTGAGCACCAAAAAGCTCTTGGAAGGAATGAGCATCTCAGCTTGAACCAAACATGGGCGGGATACTATTTCGTGATCGGTCAAGACGGTGTGTGCGGTGCCGGGGCACGTAGAAACCAGCACCAGAGCTTTCGCTGGGTTCGTCAAGTCTCCTCAACAGAGGTCGGACGTCACTTTATGCTTGCTGCTGGCCAAAGAAAGGCCTCTAATCGTCTCCTATGTGAATATATATATATATATTCTGTTCTTTAGCTTCTCAGAGTTGGGGGTGATGAAGGGTAAGAGGAGATATCCTCTGACCACTACAATTCATGTGTCCCTTTTCCAAAAAGCAACACAAAGCAAACATCCACCGCACCACGGGGCCACGTTGGGGGGAAGCACCGCGGCTAAGCAGTGCGCTAAGCCGTGGCTGGTGAGGTGGATCCTCCCTCGCAGGCTGGGAAAAGAGGTGGCAGGGAGAGGTGGGAGAGCAGTGAAGGATCGTTGGTGGGGAAGTGTGTCTAGTCCAATCCCATGTTCAAAAAATATCCACCAGTGAATCGTTTGGGAGCTGGAAGGGTGCATGTTTGTTGACTACTTTTTCATGAGGCTCCTTTTTCAAGAGCTACAAAGCCTCCCGGACTACGTGGGTAGGCCGTTAGCTTGGCTAGCTTGGCTAGCTTGCCCTGGGAAATGTGGAAATAGATCCGTATTTTGGAGATGTGCATTCTTCAATGACTTGGGAATGGATTCCATGGGCTTCAGTAAGCTTCAGGAAGAATCCAGTGTTTGGACTTGGGCTGAGTGAATTCTATGACCAAGTCTTCCCAAGTGGGCTTCAGTGACTTGGGCTTCAGTAAGCTTCAGTGTTTGGCACTTTTCAAAGACCCTGGAAGGACAGTGTCACCGCCTTTTTGCTCGCTGCACAAAGACACGCAATGTGGCAACAGGGCCGTGGCTCAAACCAACTGGGTACCCAAAGAGGTACAGGGTGAATGCAAGAGTATGCAAGAGTGATTTCCATGACATGCTGCTTTAGTTATTTGGTCCTGCCCAGTCAGTGGATAACCTTTAAACCATTTTGGGGGGGATTGGTGAGGAAAGAGAAAGGTCCACATAGACGCTGTTCATTTCGCCCGTCGCGCATTTCGACCCGATGCTGCGGAGCGAGCGGAGCGAGCTTCGCTGGGCGGCCACACAGGGGGCCTTTGCGCTGTGGTGCCCTGAGAGACATGAGGAAGAATTTGGGTGTCATTTGTTCAAGAACACCCAGTACACAGAGCTGCATACTGTTTTCAGTACATCTCAGAGAGACCACATATTGTTTCATATGGATGATTTGGTGAGTATCTATAATATAGTTTATAGTTAATTCTATATATATATATATTATATTCACTGCCTATGTGACCTAAACAGCCCAAAACAGCCCCAAAACCAGGTGTTTGGAACCTCTTCCAGGCTGGGGGGAAGCATCTCCCAGCTCCACATGGCTCACACCATCACAGCTGTCCTGGCTGGTCAGGTCCTCAACAGGAGGCCTAGTTGCTTGGGGCGATCCGGAGGCTGGCGGTGAACTCCCAAGCCGTGTGAAGCAGCTGGTGGCCGAACGAGGCGACGCGGAGAATTGATAGTGGCTATGACTTTAATTGATAAGTTGATGGGGGCCAGTTTAGTAGTAAGATGCAAGTTTTGGGTGGACAGTTTTAGTTCTTTTTTATGATGGCATTTTTTGTTGTGGATAAGATAAATACGTATCAATTATCAGTTAATGCCGTTTCTCAAGTAGAGGAAAACCCCGGCCGGACTGCTCATAAAAGGAGTATGTGGTACCTCCAGTATAACCTTGTTGGTGGCTTCAACATGTCCATTTTCAACTTGCTTTGCCAATGCCTCAAAGAAACAATCAACATATACCAATGAATACTGACATCTCATGACTCATGAACATCTTATTCAGGTGGGTTGGATATGGTTGAATCCACGAACCAAAAAGCAAGTTAAGGAAGGCTTCGGAGTTTTGGCTACCCGCAAACAGGTCTTGCGACAAGGGGAGACCAGGTCTTTCAGCATGAGCAGGGAGCACCCCACATAACAAGCAAGCCATGAAACATCGTGAAGCCACCCAAAACCTGGTTTGAGTTTGCATCATGCAAACAGCTGGTTCATGTGGATGTCTACAACTCAGGTCCAGTGAGGCATGTGCAGGGCTCCGACTATGCCTTCGCCGCGATCTTGCATGATGGAGGTGTGGTCAGCTGGGGCGAGGCGGCTGCTGGTGGAGATTGTAGCGGAGTGGAGGAGCAGTTGAGGCTCGTCAGAAGAGTTCTTTCGAGGCTTCCACAGAGGCCCTTGTGGAAACCCAAAGCACCATCCAGAACCAGGCTGGTAGCGTAGTATCTCAAAAGAAGGTCTTGGTAGACGAAGATCTAGGTGATCTTCAGGATTCCGGCAGAAGCCATCAGAAGCGACTGCGCCTCAGCCCTTAGCTGCTGCACTTTCTTTCTCGGAGGGCACCCTGGAAACCACCGAGACATCAGGGAGTTTCTCCCAAGGAGCGACGTCCAGCAGCTGTGCTCCTCCCATGCGGCCTTCGCAGCACTCAAAGCCGATGGCACTCTGGTGGCTTGGGGTGACGAAGGCTATGGCGGGACGCTGGATGCGGAGGTGGAAAAGTTGCGAAACTTGGAAAGGAGTGTGGAAGAGTGCGGTAGTGTTGGATCTTGAATCATAAAACAGTCCCCCCTCGTGAACATGACCCAGAAGAAGACTCAAGTTGCATGGCCTGAAGAAGATCGTGGTTTTTGGATGGTGAAGATCATTGTTTGTTTCTTGGTACTGGCGGTCTGGTACTGCTTCTACTGCTTGTCTTCACGTGCCAACACGACCCCCCCAACAGCGCACACTTCAATGCTTGACAATCGAACCTCTTTCTTGGGGGGGATCAACCATTTGACCCATTCCACCCATGAGGCTTTACTCTTGACTTCAACCTAACCGGACTTTCATGACTCAAGTCGTTGTCCCATGTGCCTCTGGACCCCACCGTGCTTAGGAGAGGTCCATCAACTCCGCGCCAGCGCCAGCGCCTTCTGCGCGCTGGTGGGTCCCGACCGTCGGGCGGTCACCTGGGGCGACCCCGACGGTGGCGGGCGAGCTCCGTGTGAGCTGAGCCAGGTGCAAAGAGTGGAGGCCTTTCGGTGGTTCTGAGGGTCCTGAGGTGGCATGGGTCGTGGTCGATGGGAGAGGAACTGTGAGGAACTCAGTTGATGGGTCTGGGTTCCGAGAGATGGTGTGGTGGAGATGCGCCGTTTCGCCTTGGAATCCACAACCAGCGGAAGGGGGATGAGACAAGACCAATCGGTTTAGACGCCCAGCAACAGTTGATCCAGAAGGCATGGCCTGGAAATCCCACGATGGTGGAACGATCCCAACATGAATTGTGGATAATACGCCAATTGTCAACGACTTCAATTTCATCGAGTTTTAACCTTGCGGAGCCAGAAATCTTTCTATATCTTTCTGTCCTCACGTAGATTATGCTTTGAAGACGATATAACACAATTAGGATGAAAGATTCTATCATAGAATTCTATCACTTACAAAAGACATTCTCCCCGGTCGGGATCTACACTTTCCCTCGACGGGAACAAGCCTAGGCCTAGCGTGATCAGTCAAATCCGGAAATAGGTTTGGGAGGTTGAGCCAGTTGGATGCCCCTGGCCGTTGTTCCCACAAGAAGCACCACCCCAATATTCATAAAGCGACCACAGAAAGGACGACACAATCAAACACATGGGCTCCTTCTGTAAAACCGGGGCCCGACGAGAGTCAGGGTATATAGTTTGCATATACATATACACATATCTACAATATATATATATACCTCTCGCGCCACACGATCAAGTGAGACCGTTGAGGGTATGCAGAACCCCCCAAAAAGATCGGTATGCAGATGTGTTTCAAGCAGAACATGTACAAGTGTGGTTGAAGACCTAAGGAAAAATCCAGAATAATGACAAGTAAACATTGAGTGAAGTTAACAGGCAGGAATATATTTACTATTCCTAGAACCAAGTATTAAGGAAGCAAAATGAAGGGAAGATAGAGACAGCAGAATTACACAGAAGAACATAATACGCTCTCTTTTTATCATGCATTTTCCTTACAATCTTTTCTGCTCTTGCTCTTACTAGTGTAGATAGAATTCCTTACAATCTTTTCTGCTCTTGCTCTTACTAGTGTAGATAGAATTCAAACAACATAGGGTCTAATATATAGTAATAATGATTATTTATCTTTTGCTATCACAACATATAGCATTTTTATCATTAAAACATTTTAGAAGTCATTACAAATAATAATATGATCCAATAAAAGGCATGAAACCTAAGAACATAATTTTGTTGGATCATGAGTGCTTATCAGAAAAAACGGTATACAAAAGCTAGTCCTGTAACATATTTACATCAGGCAAGACACAAGAAATCAAACAAGCATCAAAAATGCAGCTATTCCACCTGTTCAGCTGCAAAAAGCTTCCTTCCAAGCATTCAGGCTGCAACCACAAAATAAAGGAACGCAAGGGAACAGGGAAGGAGGAGGGTTAGTGCGCTGCTGCAGAAGTGCAGCAAGATGGCCTGCAAAGTCAGAACAACCCCAAGAATAATCTGCTGTATTTATTCAATATACATGTTTCTACTTTGTATCTATATCTTTCCTAGGATAAAACATATCTACACTTTTATATTTGCTAGACACTAAATTAATCTGTGCTTCAAGAGTACATGATGTGACGTGCATATACATGCATGTAAATCATAACCAACCACCGATCTTGGGGGGTACCATTTATGTATAATGTATATTATATATATATCATCAATACTTTTTAATTGTATATTATATCTTTATCGTGTCTTGATGTAATACTGACTTTATTTGCTAGCCTTTTAGCACTCAAGCCGACACTAGCCGAGAGCCCTTGCATTCCAGCACACTTCGACAATGGCAATGCTGAACGCTTTTCGTGCAATTGTGCTTCTGGCTGTCTTGGTGGGTGTGGCCCTTGCAACTGGCGAGAATTTACCTTCAGCGCCTTGGGCCTCTGAGGTCGAAGAATACGCCCGAAAGAATTGCTGGTGGGGCGCCACACAATATGCAAGTCAAACGAGGAATTGCTATAATAACTATTGGTCGGGCCGCTATTGCAAAGAGGAGAAGGTTTGGGGAATGCGTTGCCATTGGCGGTAGCATAGGCGCCAGCGAGTTACACAGTGATCGGCAAGAGATGGCAAGAGTATTGCCAATTTTTTCTGTAGTGGCAGAAGGAACCATTTGTCACATTCAGCGAGCGTGCGAAAAGAAGTTTGTCGTGAGTTTGCTTCTTTGCTTTGCAGCGGTGTTATATTCATATCTTTACCTTAACAGAGAAATAATTACCGAGACTGGTTGCATCATTCCACTCTTCACGTATCTCATTTCGGCCTAGGCTTCTTGGAGCGCCATACAGACAATGGACCTAGACTCCTCAATAAGCTTGCGTCGGTTGACATCGCAAAAGCCACAGCCTCTAGTCAAAAGAAAGGGATACCTGTGGAGAGGTGCTTTCTCCGTCCGTGCCCGATTCAGAAATTGCACTTGCCAACCCTGAATCTGAGAGACAACGTTGGCCTTCAGAGCCTTGCCTGTTGGAATCTATTGATGACTTGGATCGAACATAACATTGGACTTCACTGCGCAGTTTGGTCTTGCTATGTGTGCTTCCACATGCGGTGACGAATGCAACACAGCCTTTGAATGGTTCATAGTTATATATTGTTTGCATATACAGTACATGTTTTAAACAATTCTTGCCAGACATATTCTGAATCTCACGGACAACATCAGGTGCCCCTGGTACTTGCAAGACCAAACGTGCCCCCCCCGGTCCATTTGGGCGCGGCGGCGGTCAGGCCTCCAGCGGTGCCTTTGCCGCCCTTTTGGCCGACGGCGCGGTGGTGACCTGGGGCGACCCCGGTGGGGGCGGCGACAGCAGCCAGGTCGGCAGCCAGGTCTGTGGTGCGGTGCAGACGTCTCAGTGACAGGGGCTGACATGGTAGTTCATGGTAGACAGGGTAGACCTGGGTTCAGCCATTGATTTCGGACTTCAACCTGGTTTTGTACACATGTTCAACCAGGTCTTTGATGATGAGGGATGATGAGGGCAGGCTACGAAACCTCGCTCAAGGTTTTTGAGGCACACAAAATCGATCTTTTCCTTTGGTTCTGCCCAACACAGAACTGGATGCTTCACAACACAAACAGCTCAAATAAGGGTGTTTCCTTGTCGATTTCACTGCATTGCCCCCCAAACAAACTACGAACTGCCTACCCTCATGGCCCGTGGGTCACCAGGTCCAGCACCAGCTGGCACATGTCCAAGACATTTGCAGCTCCGGCGGAGCCTTCGCAGCGTTGCTGGAGGAGACGAAAGAGATGTCAGGGTTTTTGCAGCCTCATGAGGGTATTGGGATCCCGAAAAAGCATATCAATTCCTCAACATTGGTGGGAGAACGCGTGGCATGATACGCGTTTGCAAAGAACCATTATAAGACTTTTACCCTCAAAAAAGAATCGACAGATTTTGGCTCCACCTGCCCTAACTGACCAGTGCTTGACCTTGACACAAGCCACCCAGGACGGCAGCATCGTCGCCTGGGGCGATCCCGCCACCGGCGGCACAGGCGCGCCGCGTGCGGCGCCCACGGAGGCGATGCCGGTGCCGAAGGTGCTGCGGCTGGCGGGGAATAGCATGGCCTTTGCGGCCGTGCGGCAGGATGACACGGTGTGCAGCTGGGGGCAGCCAGAGCCACGAGGCTTAGTTTGGACCACCAAGAGATTGACAGTTACACTCCCTGGAAGTCACATGGATGTGGAAGAAAATGGCCCCTTGGAAGACATCCAAGGACAGGTTCCTACTTCCATGTTAGTTCCAGGGTGAGTATTCCAGGCCTTAAAGCACTATATATTGCAGGGTGGCGGTGTCACCTTTCTTGGAACACTTTCCCTTTTAAAGGCATATGATGTCACATAAACAACCAAAAACGGGTCCACCCTCACCTCCTTTCTTCCGGAGGTCCACCTTCACCTCAGTAAGGCGGTCCACTTACATCCAATGACGGAGTCTTTCTTCGCCATCTCACATCCACTCATGGGATACGGTCCCAACCATCAGGGCCCAGTCGCTCCGGGTCCGTCGACTCCGGTCAACTCCGGTCCGTCGACTCGTGGGGCCGGGGGGCACGGGAAGCTCCGGTGGGAGCTGAGTGCCCCAGAGAGCGACAGCGTGGGGTCGTGGGTTCTTACTTCCGTTCGGTCGTGGGATTCTGCCTGGGTCTATGCTGGTGTCATTATATTCAAGGGATACCTTCAGGTAGAGGGTAGATGACCTCCCTCTGAGGCAGTTGTTTTTGTTGGACTCTCTCGGCGGACCGAGCCCATCTTCCATGATCTGCTGAGGTTTGGGGGGGACAGCTTTGACATCGCCCATCGGCTGATGAACGTGAAGGAGGTGCGATCCTCCATCACCGGCAGCGCTTTCGCAGCGATCTTTAAAGATGGAGGAGCGCCGTTTTCAGAGATGTCTTCATTCTGCGTCTTGCTAGAATCACAGGCGACAGCAAATCAGCGGTGTCTTCAGAGAAGAGCTGCTGAGTTCTTCGGTCTAGCCGTGTTTCCCCCTTTGGGGGGGTCCATTTGTGTGACCAGGTGTGTTGTTTTTTACGCACCGACCCTCCCTATTCCGAGGAGTCGTCGCTTGGGGCGATCCGAGCAGTGGTGGTGATTGTAGTGCCCCGGCAGCACCAGGGATGTGGAGGAAGGAGGGTTTATGGTGCAAAGCAGGGATGCGCCCAGGGCTCGGGCTCAAGGCTGCTCAGAAGCTTTCCAGAGCAGCGTGTATGGAAGACCCCCCCGCATTCTAAAGGAAATCCGTTTTGAAGCAGCGAAGAATGGGGCATGAACTGGTCCACATGTGAATTGCACAAGTCCTTATGGCGCAGAGTGTCGCTCCAGGGTTGGAGGCAGTCTATACCAGGACGCTCTAGCAGGTCTTGTTTGAAGCGGGTTTACGCTGGCCTAGAGGCGATTGCCTACCGAGTCACTGGATAACCTTTACCATCCTATACCCTTTTTGGGGGATTTGTTTCCCCGCTGAAAACGCACGGACGGCTTTCATGTTCAGCGGCTCGGGAGTCGCGTCGACAAGCTCTCCGCAAATCATTCACGAGCAAGTCGAGCAGGTGCCGTTCAAGATGAGCTTTGCTGCTTGGCTGATGTTCGATGCAACAAACTCCGACAACCCGGGCATGACCCAGGTTGACCACTATTAAGGGCTGGTTCCAATTTGGAAAACTAATTAGGTTCTTGACGACCAAGAGTAGCAGATGCCTAACCTTCAATATCCGTTGTTTGATGCTTTGAGCTGCCCCTGGTCTATATGTATCATCTTTCGGTTTCAGACATTGACACCATCTTTTTTGTGCATACAGAAGCAAATCCTTTGCTTTAATAACCTTTGTTTTTGGGGTTGCACCACTCCACGGCCCATGGTTTTCATACCGCTCCACTGAAGGCCACGTGGTCGACATTTGCGCCTCTGGCGCCGCCTTCGCCGCCCTCACTACCGATCGGCGCGTGGTCACCTGGGGCGCCGAGGACGCGGGCGGCGCCTGCCCGCGCGAGGTGCACGAAGCGGTTCAGAGCTGGTGACCGGCGGTTGGAAAAAGGATTTGGCGTGAAGTACCGCGTGATGGTGCTGACTAGAGCGACATGAGGTGGAGTGGGTGATCCTGGTTTGAGGTCTGAAGAGGTCTGAAGAGGTCTCGTCATGTACTTATGTAACCATTACAGGATACTGGCACTGGGCTTTGCGATCGAATGGAAGGTGGTTTCTGAGATATGCAACTTGCGTTTAGCCTGGTCATCGATGTCCAGTGTAGCGGGGGATTCCCAAATTTGCTGGATGATACCGAGATTATTGAGAACTCACAATGGGAATCCATTCCACGGCAATGGCCAGAACTGAATGGAGGACATCCCAGAATAGACTTGGTGGTAAGGAGAACCTGGGATGGGGGTTTGGTGGTTCCGGGTTGTGAAACTGCCGAACTCTTCCTTCAGCAGGTCCTGTTTCCAGCCACAGCTATGATCTCGCACACCAAAATTCAGCCAACCAGGTGAAACATATCTCACAGATTCTTCCAAACAGCATGCCTTGCTCGCCTTGCATAACAACGAGACCCACCGCACCACTCTGGATGGAAGACATCTACCTGGAAAATCTCCCGAACATGCATGCTCGTCCTTTCACAGTACCGAAAATGGACTTGGTGCCACATCCTTCAGCATCAGCAAGGAGTGCATATTCTGCTATCATTGCTATCATGTTCCACTGTTCCACGGTGCATGTTCCACCTCGTTTTCCTTCAAGGCAGGAAGAGCCTTGGGAGGTTGGCACCCACGTGTCTCTGCACCGCAGTTGGCCGGAAGCGCAGCGGACCGAAGAGCTGAAGAAGCTCGTGCAACGCGGGCGGCTGTCGCAGGAGGCGGACGCGGGGCTGTAGACGCATTGGCATTCACCAATCCAGGGGGGTCATTGTAGGCAGAATGTAGACTCTTGAGGACCATACACCACCCCATTTGAATTGAACACATTTGAATTGAACATCCTCTTCATTTATAAATCAAGAGTCTACATTAGAGAGTGTGTATAGTTTAATAGGGAGAGACATAGTGTCCACCTCGACTCCTCTCGCCCCCATCACTCGCCGGGTAGACAAACGTCTATGTTCCGAACCATCCAGGGTTTTTTGGTCTATTGACTGCACACCATATCGCACAGCCATATATATATATAGACATATAAATTCATATAATATATCACTAAAGCAGTGTAATTTACCATATAACACACACTTTTGGTGTGCATTTCAGGGGGGATGCCATATATACATAGCAGTGTATATACAAATGCACGATGTGTTTAGAGGACGTACTGACCCAGGTGCTCCGCACGGCCCTTTGAGAGATGAGGTCCTCCACCCTGGTCCACCCACCCAAGCCGACCCAAGTAGTTCTCTTGGGGTTTAGGTGCGTTCCAAGTAGGAGTAGGAGAGGTCATGCTTTTGTGTTTGTTTCCTTTTTAAACCCAGAAAGGTCGTCGTTGCTCAGTACTTTGGGTTTGGTTGCCTTTGGAGATTGTCCCGTATGATGGTATGGGAAGACCCGGGTGTCATGGATGGACGTTTGGTATGATGGCATTTGCACTCCCACTCCCACTCCCACTCAAAACAGCTGACTTCCAGGTCCCTGCATACCATCCTCCTGTGTGGTCAAGTGGACCGGTGGTTCACCTCTTCTCGGACCGGTGCTTCGTGAATCAATGACTGGCTGACCCGCCCCCTATGCATGGTTTTTGCTTAGGATGTCTATTTTTCCCGATGGGATGATCCCCCCGTTTCCGGGGAATATGTGTTACAAACTGTTTTATATACATGGTTTTACTGTATTTTGCCTTTTTCCCAGTTCCTAGGAGCCGCAAATCCACACCTTTTCCATCCAGCGGGTGGCTCATTCCATGCCACGAATGGGCACCGGTCTCCGTGCAGTCCAGGCGTTGGATCTCCTGGAGAGGCTGCTGGTCCTGAGGCGGGGACATGACTGGTCCTGGTGGGCCACACGAGGTCCGGCCGTGTGAATTCTCGAGGTCAAAACGACGCGTTTGAAACGACGTGTGAATTCTCTGGCGTGTATGAAGGCAGAACATGTTCTCCTGTGAGAGGGGTGAACACAGGTGAACATTTCTGAACTTGTTTCAGGTGTCTCATACTGGTAGCTGACTTGGCTGACTTGGCTGAGCATGTGGGTAGGTGAAATTAAAGGGCAGGGTGTCGAACTCAGAACTCCACTGGACTGGTTGCATTGGGCACGGCTTCTTGCCACCAATCCCACTTTCAGACCAAGAGAACACACTGACATAACAGAAAGGCTATGAAGAATGTCTAACAACAAATCTTTGAGACCCAAGATACCCCAAGATACCCCAAGATACCCCAACCTGACACCTCTCGAGCCGATCTTCGCTGGATTCGCGCTACATTCGCTGCTGAATCGCAGTCCCTCCCGGCGCAGCCGCCTGGCGGATGGCGCGGTGAAGTCTCTTGGCGAAACCAAAACGAGGTGCAGAAGTTTCGGAAAGGATCCCGCCGAATCCCACTCACCCAGACTGGAGCAAATCGACTCTCGTTTTTTGGGGCATGAAAAGCATGAATCGATTAAGGTATGTATAGATTTAGATGGGAGATGTGCCAAACCATGGTGGGAAACGTCCAAGGAATCAGGAAGAGACCAGGGTTTCAGCCGTGGTTTCACGTCCAGCTCGGGTGATTTTGGTTTACCCACGTTTCCCTTCTAGGGAAGAACCATGGGGTCTTCCATGTACGGGACTGGCTGTGCATGTCCATGTCCAACCCCAGCATTGATTGGGAAGCTGGAGATGTTGAGATCACATTGGTTTGTTGGCAAATGGTAGCCAGATTCTTCAGTGAGACGATTCACTCCGCTGACAAATATGGATATTAGACTTGTGAATCGCTACTAGACTATACACCCTAGAAGCCCAGTCCGACTATACTTGGCACCACCCAAGTATAGGAAGCGTCTTTTCGGGTCACCGAGAGACTAGAGATCATTTCTAAATAGTTTTGGACTCCCAGGGAACATGCAGATGGATACGTTTCCACTTGCTTGACCTCCATCGATCACATCGAGACATCTCTCTGAACACATCGAGGCAACATGCATTCTTCCTGAACACCTTGCAGTGTCAGGACCGCCACATGTTCATGCAGCATCATGCAGCGTTGCATATATGTTCTATACTGTTACACACTGTTCTACACTGTTAATTACGCATAATATGTTCTATATATCTATGGTCTATCCATGTCTTCCGTGGACTTTTTCTTTCATCATCCGATGTGGATGTGGTCTCAACCGATGGATCCCGCCGACCTTCCGCAGCCCCGGACCTTCCGTCTCGATCCGAACGGTTTTCTTCAGTTCCGCGAGCGAGTGCCGGCTCCCCGGAGCGCTCCTCGTTGGGGGCGCGGCGTGGTTCGGGCGCCCGGACAGCTCGGGTCCTCCGGGAGTCGGGCGCCCTTCGACCGCCAAGCGGTTCGACTGGGATCGGGTCGAAGTCGCTTCGAATCGAAGTCGTCTTCGTTTGACTTGGATTGGAGGTGACAGATTCCAGCTCCCATGGAGTGTCTTGGGGACGGGGTATGAGCAGATTGATGCTTCGTACGAGTCAATTGCGCCCTAGCAGCTACAACTTGTCCAATGGACTACTTTATACTTATAGGGATCTCCATTGGACACCCCTTAGATGGCCCAGGTAAATGTTGATGCTTCCAGACCCCCCCCTTCACATCCCACAGGACCTGGCTGAGCACTTACTGGGCGAAGTGGCTTTGCGGACTGCTCGGACTCCGCGCGTGTAGAACCAAAAGGATGGAAGAAGAGGGGGTTGACCCCTGTCGGGGGGGTCTTTACACTTTCCGAGCCCACCGAGAGACGAGCGGGAAGAAGTTGAAGGTCCAGCTGGCACGAGCCCCCAAAAGAGGAGTGGTTGGTGGACCGTATCCGTACTGTCATACTACAGGATTCTACAGGGGCTTCTCCGGACGTGAGTGAATCCATGGAAAGAAGTTGATCACGATAGTTCAAGACTTCTTCAGGATTCAATATGCCCAGACACGACAAATGGTATCTAACACACATGTTTCCCAGACGCTCATGGACCCTCATATGGAGGGGTCTGGGGTTTCAAATCCCTAGGTTGTGAGGGACCAGTCGGGCTGTTTGGAGCGTCTGGGTTGTTGATCAGTTGGGGTGATTGCAGAGTCCCATGGAGTGTTTGGAAGATGCATCCACAAGCGAATATCTCCCTGGCGGGGCCAAGCAGCTTGCAGTTGGAGCTTTTCGAGTGGATCTTGAAGTGACCGCGGAAGATGGTCTTCGTGCATTTTGGGGGTCTCTGCCACACCCCAGAGTTCAACACATACTCTCCCCACTCACTAAGATGGACGTGGATGGCACCCCTTGTTCGTAGAGAGCGAATTGGCCTTCCCGGGGCCTATATTCCACTTCCATGTTAGTGGGTCTGAGTGTAAAGATCCAAATTGATGGTCTCCTGGAATGTACGACTTGTGAAGCACCAACTTGATTTTCCAAGCAAGCCAGAGTCGCTATAGGCTTCAAATTCCCGATCGCAGTCACAGGCAACTGGGTAGCTTTGCCGATTAGTTAGGGGCAGACAGACACCCACAAAAGCGGTGACCAGAAGATTTCAGGCAAGTGTTTCGCCTGTAAGATTTTACTACAAACATCTATACAAATGACAAACCTGAATGGAGATCTTGAAACAACCTACCCAGTCAGTTGATAACCTTTAATATTCCTTATTTTTTAAGGTGGCGTTTGATTCACCTCTATTTTCCACAGAAACGGCTTAGGATTTAGGCTTGAAAGAGCTCTTTCTGCACATGACCTTGCCTTTAGCTGAACTTCAGCTCCGTCGCATGGGACAGCGCTCGACTGAGCGCTCGGCTCAACATTTGTGAAGTCCGAGTGACAGGACTTCACATGCGACCGACACACGACAGTGCGCATTGCATGGCCCCTTAGACATCACCGGCCCAGATCTGGCAGATTCTCCCACCAGGTCGGCCATGGCTTTTCATAGTTGTTCCTTATTTTTTTTGGGAGGGTGGCACATGTTTGATGCAGGTTCAAGTCCTGATTTGCCGCATTGCTCTCTTGACACCCACCCAAGTGAAAAACCTTTGATAGCCAGTCATTGCTTCACTTCGCATGGCAAAGCGACATGCTGCTTCATAGCCATGGAGGAAGCAGAGGAGGATGCAGGCAATCAGCCGCAGAGCAGCTGCACCGCGCCCGCGCGCGCGCGCCTGCTTCACGCACATGCTGCTTCGATTGCTGAAGGTCGAAACAGTTCGACGACCCCAAAGAGTTGGGATACAAATCAATCAGTTTCCATCAAACCTACGTAGCGCTTCCTGTCAGGGTGCCCTGTTTAGCGCTTCCTGTCAGGGTGCCCTGTTTGGAGACCTGTTTACGTAGTGTGGAGATATCCATTGGTAACCCCGGACGGAAGCAGCTGGAATGTTCGCTTCTGGATCTGCATGGTATTTTCTTGATCACCATGGAATGCTCGTGCTTCGTTTGGCGAAGCTCCTACTCCACCTTGCTTCTCCTCACGAGTTTCGACTTGCCGAGTCGTTCGAGGCTATTCACCGGTGTTTCTGCTCATCCGGGTGACCGACGACCGAACGGTCAAGGGGACGAAGAACCGAAGGAACGGCGCGTGATCGGGCGGTCAACGACAGGTCTAGCCTTGGGTCCAGCAGGTCGCTGCTGGAACGTGCTCAACATCCCATGGTTGGGTGGGTGCGGTGTTGGAAGAAACACTGACCCAGGACAAAGTCAATAAACCTTAATTAAAGCATCTTGAACGTCCATTTTTTTTTGGGGGGGGGTTGGGGCATTGGTTTTCTCGACTTGAAAGCCGAACCATGTGCACCGTTGTTTAGTTGGTTTATATACTTGGCGCCGGTATGGCATGGCCATCCGAAGGAGGTGGGGCGTCCGTCATTGATCTCAGCGCGTGGACGCGTCCATTTTTTCGAGCTCCGACCGGAGGCGATGGCCCCATTGACCTGTTGAAGGCGTGGGTGTGAAGGTTGCCACATTGGCTGTGGGTCAAAGCCGGGGGACCTTAGTTGACCACCCAAAAGAGAAAGAACAGAATAGACTATATGTTTGGGAGGTTCACCTACCAGGTTGATTTTGGTTCATTTTGGGGTGGTTCACCTACCAGGTTCACTACCTACTGCGGAGCTTCACTTACCAGGTTCACCGGCTCCTATGTGTGACCCACAGCGTTGCCAACCAACTGGTGACCCGTCCCACCGATCAGTCCAAGGACACTAGAAGGGTCAGGTCGGTCCCATAAGGCTGAGATGCTGGGTCATGCTGGGTCTCTTGGGTTCAGGTAAGCACTGACCTTCTTGGAGCGGATCTGACAGACATCTGGAAAGAGGAGACCCACTGTGTCGAGGACGTTTGTCTCTTTAAAAAAAAGACGACGGATTCCTTTAGACGACTGCGTGAAATGATCAGAAGGTCTTGACCATCCAAGATCATCCAATGCCATGTCTTGCTGAGTCTTCGGACCGGCAACGGACATCTTGTTACCGGTTTCTAGAGAATTGGACCAAATCTTTGGTGTGGCTCAGCTCCCTCCCTCAGTTTTCCTTTTAGCCAAAAACATCGAGAGAAGGGATGCCTGCCCAAGAAGACATCTCCCTTTGAATCCCAAAGGGTAGGACCTGGCCTTTTGAAAGAACCATCATTCGACTTATGCTGGGTTTCAGCTGGAGCTGTGGTCCCTGGATGATTGAATTGATGTCCAATTGAACACGGATGTCTATCTACCATCTACCAGCTTGTTCAGTTCGCGAGCTTTTCCTGGCGATCTTGGCACTCTTTGCAGGCCAATGAGTGGCCAAACCACTTGGAATATCTTGGAATAACATGTTTTACCTGTTGTTGTTGTTGGTGGTGGTTGGTGGTGGTGGTGGTGGTGGTGGAAACAAAAACAGCCTCCCAACATAGTTGTTAAATGCTGCAACTCTGGAAGGTTAGGGATGCGGTTGAAAGGTTTGAGGGAATGTTGGTTTTGCAAGTAGCCGGACTTGTTGGACTTGTTTCACTGAAGTCTGGGTTGGTCGGTCTTTACTGTTGTATACTGTATACTGCATACTGTATACTGGATACTGTTGTTGTTGTTGTTGTTGTTTGCTGTTGTTTGCTGTTGTTTGTTCAGGGTCTCGCCATGTTCTGTGGTTCTGTGGCTCAGACTTGGAATCCCGCCGCTTACATGCCTTCGTCGTTGAGTCTAGTTACCATCTCCACGCCGCAGAGGTGCAGACCTTTGACCGGTATGATGTGGCGGAACGCTGCAAGGAGCTCATGCGGAGGTTGTGCCTTGGACCCGACTTGGAGGGTCAAGTGGTCAAACATTGTTACATTGTTCTAAATACCGCAGCTGTTGTAAAGGAGACAGAAGCTCAGCAGTGAAATACTATAGACTATAGATTCTTTTTTTCGGTCGTCCTTCATGATCCCCATGGCCACCAGACCCTAAGTCGGTGGCCTGAACAGCGCAGTGGATTCGTTATCCGTGGTCCCAACAAAAACATTTGCTGAATGAAGTGGATTTTGTTTATTTTGTTGTTGGCATTTCTTTGGAACATGTGACCACATTCGTGTCTTTTTCTTAGCCACCTGGAAAGCGCAAAACCGCAGAAAACCTCAAGTTCACCGCTTTGCACGCTTGGAAAGCTCTTCAGGTCCAATTCTGCTGGCCAGGGCCTCAAACCAGGGCGAATCGAATTTTCGATCGATCACCAGCCACAGGCGATTGGATTTGTGGACGATTCTTCCGCGCGACCATGTCAACTCACTGGACAGTAAATCTAAGTTGCAGACTTTTCGGGCAAGATCTTCCTATTCAGGCCAACATCATTTCAACCATCCAGACCAAACCCGCAAAGAAGAAACGCCTGTATACTTTTAGAGTGCATAAACATTGGTGGAACTCACTGAAGGGGTATATAATTCTAGACAAAAACAAGACAGAAGGTGTCCATTCAAATTCGTCGTTTACGTATGTTCACGTGTTGTTCTCCTTGGGAATTACCATCACATGTACATGGATCACAGCCCCCAACCTGACCAAAGCCTTCCTGACCACCTCATGTATGCCACATGCGGCATATTTGGATCAGTGTACAGTGACTCAGACCATTTCTACACAGATTCTGTTTCAGTCGCCTCACCGGCACAGATTCTGTGCTCACGAGGTTCGCCGCAGTGCAAGTGGGACATCCTGGAGTTGATGGAGGCACATGAATCCAACAAGCATCTTGAGTCTCCAATGAGTGTTGGAAGAGATGAAGAGAACCATTTTAAACAAATCCTTTTGAACATGATTTGTTTCAACATGTTTTTGCATATTTTTTCCCATCTCTGACGGAATCTATTTCTTTTGGCTCAACGTCTTCGGTCTCCCCACCATCCGGAGTCGATGTGTGGCCGCGGAACGGCTTTCCGAGGAGTCTCATCATCAGCTCCGGGATGTGCGGCAGGCGCCGTGTCCCGTGAGACTGGGACACGGGGACACGTGTGGTATATAGCTGAATGGTGAACATTTTGATGTCGAATCCGATCCTTAGCACCCCAGAATATTCTGAAAGGATGTTTTGATATGTTTTGTATGAAAGGATGATAGAAGGGTTATGCTACAGAAATTCATGAAGGGTTATGCACCTTCTTCGATCCATTGAGATAAACAGGACGTTTTCATCTTGTGCAGCTACGGAACCTGTGCGTGGCCGCGCAGAACTTGGTTTGTTTC